CCTTATCTTCCTTATATTTATCCTCTTATCTTTATCCTTATCTTCCTTATATTTATCCTCTTATCTTCCTTATCTGACATGCACAAGGAGCCAAGTTCGATAAGCTCAGAATCGAACTCTCGATAACTCGGAGCCGTGTATAAATTGCTTTCTCTCTTCCGATATAAGCTTCCTTATTGTTGTGTTTTACTCATTTGCTTCCAAACCGTCGAACAGAAATGATCAATCTTCTAAGGCACAAGCCATATCTTGAATTGTTGGGCACGTCCGAGCCTGATCAACAACAAGCACTACTGGAAACAGCAAGCGCTGAACAAGTACACTGCCTGTGTCTCTGTGTAGAAAACGTTATGAAAAGAAAATATTTAATGCCGAAGCATGTAATGAAGAAACTCCGACCTTACAAAAATGAAATGCCTAGGTTGGCAGATAGAGGAAAATGTGGAAGAAGAAAAAAACGGTGAAGGTTTCCTTGGACTATTACTAAGTCCTATTTTGGAAAGCCTGGCTGAACTTGTATAAAAGCCCTGTGATTACAATTTATACCTCATTTCAACAATGAACATCGAGAGTAAAACATCTCCGCGACATTGGCGCATTGAAGATATACTTTTGTATCTGAACAATAATGTCAAAAAAACTACAGCAGAAAAAATGCTACATTCTATTCTTATATCAAGCGATATTTTAACTTGGAATCCTCAGGGTGAGATTGTTTATCATGGAAGAGACATTCCTGGTACTAACATCGAGAATGTTTTACAATACGCACTTTTACCATACAACTCTCACATTCCTGAACCACGAGGGCTCGACCTGTTTACAAAAGGCCTAGTAGAAGCAGGGGTTAATAAAGATTTGATTAAAAATGAGTATTTATTGTCAAAAATGGCAAAGGAGGAACATGAAATGCCACAATCTGAGAGTGATGTTGAAAGCGAATCTGCTGAAGAGAACAGGGAATCTGACAAGAGTGATAATGAAAGCGAATATGCTGATAATGAGGATGATGATAATGAGGATGATGGTGCGCCTGAAAAACTAGCTTGTAACCATTGTGGAGAAGAGACTGGTCACATTGTATACTTAATGAAGTGCCCAAGATGTTCGTGGAAAGATTTCTACAGGGGGAAAGACGCTCAATGTATGATATGTGATGAACAGTCACCTCTACTGTTTTCGCATGTCATTGGTTTCTGCGAGCTATGTTCGTATGGTACGTCTAACAGCAAGGCGGGCGGATTGGAGTTTACACCAAAAATGGACAAATAAAATACCCAGCAGATTGAACCGAACGTGACCTAGCGCGAATGACTCCGGAAGCAAGAGAGGATTATGAACGTTTTATATTGAGCGATAGACCGAAATATATTCCAATGAAGCCGGAAAAACTTGCAAAGTTATCCCCAGAAGATAGACAAGAATATGAGAACTCTTTAAAAATAACAAAAACACCTAGACGTTACGCTCTTAGAAGTAGACCTTACTAAATTTTGTAAAACATTTTGAAGAAGTAAATGTGTTTAAAAACTGAAATATTGTGTAATTTTTTGCCGGCAAAGCCCGCTCTTTCCGCCCGCGCGAAAAGATCCGTTGTACAAATATGTTGTACTTTAATATATACATGTACCCGCAAAGCCACGCGCCTGATTTTAAGGTATACACCTGCCTTAAAAATAATCCCCATCTATTCATCGGGATACACTTAGTTATGCAAATTCGTATTGCTTTAATCCCCTTAATTACCTACACACCTCCTAATGACTTAGCAACGCATAAACAACGCAAATTTGCAAAGCTTAAAACATGTTTATTGATACAAATAATAGAGAAAATATATTACAACTAAGACTGTTAAATTGTTCTACAGGATTTTTTCCTTCAAGTATTCTATCTGACTCGGTCATCTTGACCGTATATATGTATGTAGGTTTGCTAAATAATGTTGAACAACATGCAAATAGCGATCATAACAACGCCTTTGACAACCCGGGATTAGCAACTGCTTATTTCCGTTGCGATATTTTTTATTTCTGTTTGGAAACTTATTGCTCAAAACGAGCCATTAAATCGGGATTAGCAACTGCTTATTTCTGTTGCGATATTTTTTATTTCTGTTTGGAAACTTATTGCTCAAAACGAGCCATCAAAATTAAAACGAATTTCAATTGCGTGTTGAAAATAAGAGAGAGACTCACAACGTTGCTACATGGTTGTAAGGCAAAAATTTTTCTACCGTACCGGGTTCGAACCGGTGACCTAAGGAATACTGATTTGGTAATAACTACAGTCCTTTGCTCTACCAACTGAGCTAACGGTAGGTTTTAAAAACTAACTTCTATTTCATACTTTTATACATGCAAACTATGAGAAACCTCTTGTCGTTTTATTACAAATTTGTCAGAAACTACAATCTTTGACAATATAGATTGGGACAATCTAGTTTTCACATGCATTCGCTTGTAATATACCATTTGCTGATACATATTTTCCACCTTCCCTCCCCCCACCCGTTTCAATGTTAGCGCCGCGCATCCAAACATCAGATTTTCGTTGGCCCAACATTGAACGGGGCGAACGGGGGGCGCTATTCCTTTCAAAATATATGAAATTACAGCAGCTGTCCCACAGTTTCTGGCAAAGATTGTCCTGGTGGTGATCAATTGTGTTTGGAATTTGGTAATTAAACTCTTTAGTTTTAAGTTTATACCGCCCAGTTACATATATTCCAGTATCGAAGCATGTGTGGGCAAGTTTTGGTAGTTTTAGATACTATCCATTCATTCCGGGGGGGGGGGGGTTGTGTTATTTTTAACACTTTACATACCAATACAGGTACGTGTGCTACTAGCTATAATGCTTAATAAGCACATTTATATTCACATCTAGAACTCATTAATAATTCATGAGCAAATTAGCGAATGAACTCACCCTAATTCGTCACATGATTGAGGTTGGATACCGCAAGGAAACACGCTAAAAATCATATACCATCACCTGCCTCGTCCCCAGGCGCTAATTAAAAAATTTGCGAATCACTATATGAAAGGTTTACATGAAGTAGTGCGCCACATTATAGGCGCGCGCAAAGGACAGTGGGATATGAGCGTTCTGGTTAGCACCTCAATTTTGATGCCTCAAGCCCATAACTCCCTGCGCTTGTTCGTCATGATGCACTACTTCATGTAAACCTTTCATATAGTGACTCGCATGAAATTTTTTATTAGCGCCTGGGGACGAGGCAGTACCATCACTGTTGTTAGATGAAAAACGGTTTTCATCTAATAACTGAGATCCTAATTACAAATTCAAGTCAAAACACAACAATATACTATAATAATTACTGACGATCATAATAACCTATTGTTTTCTCTCTGCATTATATCAGCAAATGTCGAGAAGCTAAATTTGCACCCAGCATTATTAAAAATAATGCAGCGTGCACACAGCATTATTAAAAATAATGCAGCGTGCACACAGCATTATTAAAAATAAAGCAGCGTGTATCAGTGCACACAGACATTATTCGCAATTCTTCGTCATCCTGACAAGTACACGCGATAACGTGAACATCTCAAGATGAGAAGTTGACAGTGCTAAAGGCCCCTCATACAATATCATCGGGCGCCTGAAGCACTGCCAAAACGGTCGCTGTGAGTCTTTCAGCTCAACTTTATAGAGAAATAGTTTCGTTTGCGCTTGTGGGATTTTATCCTAGATATACGCATGTGCAGAACACACCATAACTTCTATTCCCGTGTTTATCCAGTTTAATAATGTTTTCGTTCTAGATGTTATGTAAATAACTCGTTTCTCGTGTTTCATCAGGGGACCAAACACTCGAAAACAATAAAACACTCGCGCTTCGCGCTCGTGTTTCATACAGTTTTCTCGTGTTTGGATCCCCTGATGAAACACTCAAACTCGTTGTTTACATATAACGTCTAATATCATCATAGCTCTCTTTCTTGTGAAAAATCCGCGGAAATTTACTCAAAAGTTACTTGCTGTCTTTGGAATGATGCAAAAGACCATAATTACGACGATCCTGGAACAGAACTATTCAGATATAATCGGTTTGTGAGTGGGGTAGGTTTAAACTCATCTCACAACATATTAAACTGCGGGGAAAGACAAATAAATATGCATTGTTTTCGCCTTTTACAAACTTATACTTGAGAACTGTGGCCGTTTCCAAGCTAAATTACGTTTACAGTATAAGATTTATAGCACAGTTTATAACGCAGCCAGTAGTCAAATTTCATACGTCTCATATTACACGATGCTCACTAACGAATCTCGGCCTAAAACGCTGATTTGCGTTACTATAAATTTTACTTACCTTACATTTTATATACATATGGGTACAAGAAACCATTTTCCTTAATTACAATCGGTTAACTTTGCAGATATCCCTTTTTAAGTTCGTTTTTGAACGAAGCTCACTACAAATCTGTAAATAAATCTATATCTCATTGGCTATTTTATGACAGAAAGGTGAGAATCGTTGCTAGAAAATCATTCGTATCTTAGTCAGTTCATTACGAAAACTTGTAAAATCGTCCAATCTTGTAAAATATGCTGGAATTTAGATGCCTAGGGTGAATTTGTTTGATATTGTCTGCTATTAAGGCTTTTATGGCGTGTGAGCCCATCAAAATATGGTGAGATTCGTGGTGAGATTCGTTTCCATATGGATCTCATTGTCACATATACGCGCTTAGTTTACTAACAAGTTGGCTCAGTTGTCAATTTTTTTTAAATAGAGTTCCAATACTGTTACCATGCATGGAATTCAATCAATTGTGACTAAAATATACCACTGCAAGCCTTTAAATCTGGTTTTAAATATACGCGATGAAATTCAGCCGGATTTTAGCTATTTCCTAACACACGCATACGCAAGCATTGTATAACACAGTACATGCAAATTATTTGTGTGCAACGAAATTGCTAAAGGACCTAAAAAGTGTGAAGAACTTATGAAAATTGACTGCGTATACAGCTTGATGATGTCTACAAGTTGAATTAAGTTAAATTTAAGAGTAATGGTATTATTTCAACAGACAATCTTTGACAATATAGATTGGGACAATCTAGTTTTCACATGCATTCGGTTGTAATATACCATTTGCTGATACATATTTTCCACACTCCCTCCCCCCACCCGTTTCAATGTTGGCGCCGCGCATCCAGACATCAGATTTTTGTTGGCTCAACATTGAACTGGGGGAACGGGGGGCGCTATTCCTTTCAAAATATATGAAATTACAGCAGCTGTCCCATAGTTTCTGGCAAAGATTGTAGTTGTGATGCTAATTGTCACCTGCCACATTTGGCCCAGGCCTGCCCGCGTTAATTGGTCGCGCTACCTGTCACAGTTGGCCCAAGGTTAGGGTTAGGGCCAGCAAAGTTACGTCACATATTTTGCATACTAATTATTTTCGGAGCAGCGTGACGTCACTAGGCACCCTCACATGTGCGGCCCCCTTAATTACCTGCATGCGCCGCCCCCTTGCATAGTAATTACCTGCATATATAATGTGCGGCCCCCTTGCATAGTAATTACCTGCATATATAATGATGCGCCCGCTTGCATAGTAATTACATGCATATATAATGATGCGGCCCCCTTGCGGTCCCCTGCGGCCCCCTAAAAATAAGACCCGAACGGCCTCTATATTACTACTTATATGTTCTGAATAAGCAGGAAAAAACCCCGCAATATTTTAATACGAGTTTGTTTGTTAATATTTGGATGCTGTCATTGGTTTTTTTGACAATTGACGCGCGAATGGGGCGTGTTATGAAAAGGGGCGTTTTACAAAATATCGGGCCTTGCTTGCAGGCCCACTATCAATTCCCTTGGGCCTGCACGCGGGCTAGTGTTAGATAAATATCCAGGGTGTATATAATAATAACTGGATCCTAGAAATTCACATCCTTGACTGTTATCACTTAATAATTAATAGCTAGACTATCGCAGCCTTTATTTTTTATCCAAAGGCAGTCTAGATCTCAGTCAGTGCATGGCGCAGTCGTCAGAGCAATCGCCTTTCACCTCTGAGATTGTGGGTTCGATTCTTCTTCTGATTCAAACGTCTCTTTTTAATTCATTTCAAAAGGATGTAAATATTTATAGTTTAAATGTCTACGTCGTGAATCTTAAGTGGAAGTTTATTTATTTATTTAGGACGACGTCCTAGTTCCAGTCCTCTGCTTAGCCCTGACGTCCTAGCTGACGTCGACGTCGTAGATCGTAAGCTATCTATTAACTCAATTTAAAGTCTGTAGGTTCTCCCTTCTTGTTGTTTTTGAACCTTGCGCAACTGATTATTTATATTTTGGTAAAACCAGGACCTTTCCATACCTTGTAATTCCAGATTGATGCTCTTGATAGGCATCTTTCAGGTAATTTTCAAACTAGATTGTGTTATATTTCAGTCAATGTGTTTATTTTTTTTTTTTTTTTACTTTTCCAATGCGGTATAATATTTTTTAAGTAAGTGTCTCATTAATTGATCTCTTGGTTGGTAAACTGAATTAGGCAGGCTCTGTCAGAGTGTCCCAGAGCAAAGAGATCAGAATCTAGCTAGTTCTTCTTGGTGAAAATAATGAAAGTGCTTCTGCATGAAATGCATGCTTGGCATTTCCCGAAAAATCGAGAAAATTTGATAAAATCGGGAGCCTGGTTTTGAGAGATTGCATGCATGGATTTCGGAAGACTCCCGAGAAAATCGAGAGAGTTGGAATGTCTGTGGTATTAGAAAAATTTGACGTCGTGTGGAGACAATGTTTTATTGCTTTAGCACTGTGTTTGTGCAGATGGAACTACATAAATTAGCAGTTGCTTATTGGTAGATATTTAAGTAGTTGTGAGACAAAATGGCAACTTATAAATCAAATCTTTTGGAAATGGAGCATGAAGATGCAACAGAAAATAGTGATTTGGACTTGGACGAGATTTCAACGGAGGATATTGAAGTAAACATTGCCATAATTGGAAAAGCTGGGAGTGGTAGATCAAGTTTTGTTAACGCCATCAGAGGGTACAGTATGAAATTCTTGTACTTTTGCTTTGGCATGAAGTTCAATAATAGCCATATCTTTATAGAAGTTTCACTAAAATAACAAGCACTTCTAAAAATGCTCGGATTTATAGTATAATTATAGCTCAAACAATGGTTCATACTTCAAAACGTCTGCAATTGTATTTTCCGATCAAGTATTCGTAGAATTTGGAATTGCATTAGTTATATTGCTGTTATGACCTTATACAGTCAGTAGTTTGGGTCTATTATTAAACGTCAAATGATATTTTACTAGATAATATTATTTTACTTTCGCTTAGTGAGATTTACAGAGAAATACCGAAGCGTGACGAACATAAGCCGAGCTAAATAAGCTTGTGTGTCGTATATATAACTCGCTTCAAAACAGTTTATGTTGCAAGGTTCAAGTCATTCTGATTGTTTGTGTAGTACCTTCGTCTTTACAGACATTTACCTTCCAGTACAATGACTATGCCGAAATTCCTAAGCGAAAATCGTTGTGATAACAAGACGCTCTGTAGAGCGTTAAATCGCAGCTGGGTTGTATTGTATAGTATAGTATAGTATAGTATAGTATAAAAATGAGCTCATTTAGGATGAATAACATGGTCTGATAACTATAATAGTTACAGGGTTATACTAGTGAATGGTCGACAAAAATATTAAATTTTTAACACCTCTACTGAGCTTCGTTCTTTATATTACTTTGCTCGTGCATGCATATACTACGGTCTAAAATAGTATATCACTTATATTAAGAAAACGCGTTTGTTTGCTTTTTAAGATATGCATGATCAGGGCCACGCAAGCGGGAGTGCTGGGCAGCCCTTTCACCTCCAAATAATTTTCATTGCACTACTAACGCATATGCTCTTTCGTGCTTGATTTGGGAATTGGCACAAAATGAAATGAAAAGCTGCTTGCATGCTCAGCTGGCTATGGCTACTATCACTACTGCATATTGTTATTTTCTCCTTTTCAACGTGACACTGCCATTGGCTTAATCAAAATGATTAGTTTTGAAAGGTGAAATATTTATTGTGTAATTGTAAGTTCTTTCACAATACGATAATCGGCCCGCGAGGGCAATTTTGTTCATGTCTTTCAAAGCTGCCGTTGAAAATCATTAAAGTTTGCTGTTTGAACCGTAAACAGTATAACGCCCTTTTTCCAGCTCTTTAATAATTGAATTTCCTGATATATTGCCTCCTTCACAGACCCTACTGTTCCTTGGTAAGGTTCACACAAATGGATGAGTTGCTGGTTCGCAGACCCTCCTTTGTTTTACGCGGCTAGTTGTCCTCTGGCGATCCCATAACACATGGCGTTATGTACAAATGCAATGCATTATGGGATCGCCAGGGGGCAATTGGCCGCACAAAAAAAAAGGGGGCCTGCAAACCTGCAATCCATTTTCCAAAGCCTGTGGGATCTTGTAATCAATCGGCAATCCATCTGTTTCCAATTCTGCAAGAAATTTGCATGCACAGCCCAACATGGTACTTCCGGCGGAAGTTTCCCAGTGAAATATCGTCTAGGTTCCACTCAGGTTCCTCTACGCGGTCAAATCCAAGATGGCGGCTAACTGATAACATTTCAGGATTTTTCAGGACTAAGCTCCTAGAGGGATTTTACCACTGAGCTATACTATATTACTGGAGGACCTGCTCGGCATCAAAAAGTGTCGCCAAAAACATGGCGGATCTGACGCCAAATGAAAATCGTGATATTTTTCTTCCAATTTGCTTGATTTACAACGGATACTGCATTTTTACGCCGCTCGTATGTGTGAGAATTCTCCGAAGTCCAAACAAGAACGAGAAGAATATATTTTTATTCACCGGTAAGATTTTATACAGTTTATTTGAATATTTCTAGATTCTAGCTTGCTGTGTCTGCTTGCTTTTATATTAAACTCGATAGAAAAAAAATTAAGAAATGTACGAAGCACAAACCATAGGGAAATGGTTGGGAATCCTGTAAATTTTATTGATTTTAATACCACTAGTCTCTGTGTTTTCATAGCCATAGGGTTTTAAAACCTGCTTATAGACTATAGTGTCAAAATCCTCACTGTGCACTTACTGTATATTTATTTTATAGCACTACAGGCTTTTATAGTATTATAGAGATATAAACAAATTTTCCCTGACAAACTTTGAGTGATATATATATAGCCTTGCCAGCGGTTCTTGTAGCAGTTATATATAATGACTGTGTAAACTGTAGTTATATTATTTATCACTTCTACAACAGGCAGGTGAAAATTAAATTGTTTTGCTGAATATGCTGGGCCAATTAAAGGCCATTAAAGATATCAAGTTCAAACCATTCAAATGATTCAATACCCATTGCAATCAAGCAATGACCATAAACCTAAGCCCCAATGACAGACCCCAAATATAAGCCCTCCTGTGTAGAATTGCACCACTAGAAATTCTGAATATAAAGCCCTCTCCCAAATTTAACCCATTAAGCGCCAGCGCTCTCCCCTTGACGAGTAAGATCGTCTGGTGTTAGACAGGATAAAATACTAAAGTAGGGTGCATCGGGGTACAACGCAACTCAATGGGTTAACTAGGCACATGCACAGGTAGGCCAGTTAACCCATTAAGCGCCAGCGCTCTCCCCTTGACGAGTAAAATCGTCTGGCGTTAGACAGAGTAAAATACCAAAGTAGGGTGCATCAGGGTGCAATGCAACTCAATGGGTTAAATCCCTCTGTGTGAGCCCATAAACGTATTTTTGGACAGGTATTTTTTAATGCAGCGAAGGGGATTCCAACAGCTCAGCCCATCAAAAATGCTATTGAATGAATATAAGCATTGGGTCGTTCCAGAAAAGATCCACACTCCCCACACGGAGGAAATTTCTGCCGTCCGGAGGGGGAGGGGAGAAAAAATTGTTTCTGATAATTGTAAATGTATTAGGACATCCGAAGGGGGTAGGGGAGTTAACTTCCAATTTCCTCTGTGGGGGTGGTATGGATGTTTTCTGGAATAACCCATTCAGAGGTTTACATATGGTATTCATCTGCCCAACATAGTATGTCAGAGTTATATAAATTCCACAGCTATTAGAGTTGTAGACTTGTAGTTAGGTATTTGTAGGAATGAAGGGTGTCTACGTGTCAGCCAATGCATATTCGCTGCCATTGGCATTGACCAAAATTGTGCCCTGACAATTAACCAATCAAATTGCAGATGATTGATCACATGTACATTTGAGAGCATCTTCAGTGGTGGTATATTATATCCCCAGTATTGGAGTAGAGCCCAACTGTTCAGTTAGACATTATTTACGAACTTCCTCTCTTATATCTGCATAGATTATTTTTGATATATTGTAATGTAAAATGAAACTTTGGGATAGTTAAGAAATACAATTAATCCATTTATAATGGACAAGATTGTCCCCTTAACATGTAAAATTGCCTGGCATATTAGACAGGCTTATAAATGACATACCATATTAATTAACCATTAGGTTGCATTGTGCCCTAATGCACCCTAGCTACTTTATTATTTTACTCTGTCTAACACCAGACAATTTTACTTGTGAACTGGAGAGCCACTCAGTGCTCAATGGGTTAACATGTCAATGTCTAACTGAACCGTCTGGGCTCTGCTCTACAGTAAATTTCCTTGTGATTGGAGTCTGGGATCTGTGACCCAATACATCTTCAGTGTCTTCATATGGTACTGTCACTATTTTATATGTATAATGGACATTTCTCATTTAGGACTGAATCTGATGTAAGTCATGTGGACAAGAAATTAATACAAGTTCTTTCGAATGTTCAAATAGCAAGAGTCAAGTGGTGCACTAGCTCTTGCCAGACTTAACTGAATGCCAGAACTAACAATTACTTTTCTCTATAATTTTGTGGGAATGTGTTATTTATATGTATGTACTACAAACAGCCAAAGAATAACCCATGAGCTCTAGTTTTAATTTTTTAATAATACTGTTAAATATTACATGTAACTTGATTGTACAGTTAGGTTTTAATATTATTTGCTGCTAATGGGTCATATTCCAGAAAACATCCATACCACCCCCACAGAGGAAATTACGTACATTTACTATTATCAGAACCAATTTTTTCTCCCTTCCCCTCCGGACGGCAGAAATTTCCTCCGTGGGGGGAGTGTGGATCTTTTCTGGAACGTCCCAATTGGATAATTATTCTTTAACCATGCAAGTTGGATTAAAATACATAATATACAAAATCAAGCAAATTTTTGTCTTTAATTAATTTTGAAACAATTAATACATGTTTCTTGGAGGTTCACTAACAACAGTGGCATGAACTCATTGTGGGAGCATTCTGCAACAAGCAAGAATAGATTATAGCCATAGGGGCTATCAATATGGAAGCCAGGCTGGCCTGGTTAGCAGAACTATTTATTATTTCCAGATTAATTTCCTTGCCGACACAATTCTATTGTTTTGACAATATTTCCATGACCAATGTTGTATTGACTTTACTTTGACCAGGTCAGTCCAGTTAGTGTTTATATCCATAAAATATCTTCCCGGTGTAACTGAGAGCTTGCCTTCTTCAGGTGAGATCTGAAAACTGAGCCAGTCAGGTTGTCCATACAATTTGAAAGGAATTTCCACTATAAAAATAACCACACAGTGAGTGAGACCTTGCTTACTGGCCTAGGGCTAGCTGTCACATTAGCCCCTACCTCAGGAACACCAGAAATATGCCAGCATGCAGTTGAGTCAATTAACCCAATATTTATAGGGATGGGGCAAACAAGTTAATGCATGGCCTTTTAAAGATACATGCAACAAACTATCAGAGAGCACACAATATACATGCAAACATATGCATTTTCAGATCAGCTGAGCTTTTTCCAGCACCAGTTCT